CGAGCAACAGAAAGGCCCCACCATCCTGAGCTGATGCTGAGTTCTGGAAAGCTCGGGCCTTCCCAGGTGGGCGCGAGAGGAGGGGCCCTGCAGACGTCCCCACCTCCCCCGGCCCCCCCGGGCTCACCGCTTCCAGGGGCACGGCCCGCATCACCCGGTACTGCCGGCCGGGGTCCAGCTTGTAGACATGCCGGTCAGTGAGCAGGAGCGCCCGGTCCCGGCTCTTGTTGAAGCGATTCACCTGAGGGACAGGCGATTTCGGGGTCACCTGTCTGGCCCCAGGGCCTCCTCTCCCTGGACCCCTTTTCTCAGGGACTGAGTTGGATCTGACCACTTCTGAAACCTCTGCCCTGGGCTGTCGATCCTCCCTTGGTCCCACACCTCACCTTCCGGACGTGACTGGAGAACAGCACAGCCCCAAAGCTGTCCTTCTCACGGAGTGCCTTCAGTCGCTCAGCGAACAGGCCCGAGGCTGTGGGGTTGTCCATGGCCTGAGGACAGATGGGGGCTGCTTGACCGCTGTCCCTCACCTCGCGAGCCAAGCCGACTCAGGCCTTGAGCCAGCCTCGCCTGGGTTGTCTGAGGGCCCCGCGCCCAGACCGCTGCAGCCCTAGGTTCTGGTCATCCCTGAGCCCTCCATAGCTGCCCACTGTCCAGAAGCTGAGAAGGCAGGGTCCCGGGGGCCAGGGAAAACCTTGAGCCTTCGTCCACTGTAGAATGGGGCCAGGGGCATAGCTCACCATGCCCATGCGAGGGCCAGGGTGAGCCAGGGCATGGGTGCAGGTGGGGGGGGGGCGCAGAAGAGAAGATGCTCAGTAAAGCCCAGAGGCCAGGGGCAAGGGCAGAGGGGCATGGCCCACAGGCCGGACAAACAGCCAGGTCCTGGGAGAGGACATGTGGGGTGGACACCGGCAAGCTCTCAGCTCTGAGCCCCTCCTTGGTGCCCAGTTTTCGTGGCCCCGACACTCACAGAGGACAAGTAGTCCCTGACCCAGGCCCGCCGGCAGCCCCAGTCCTGCCGTAGCTCCTGCAGGACCCCCATGGCCGCCACTTTGGCCTTGATCTGGGCCATGTCTGAAGGTGGGATGTTCTTCACCAGCTGCCGGGCCCGCCACCTGGAGGGAACCGGGTGGTCAGATGGACCCCATGCAGCCCTCACCTTCCCCACCCCGGTCCTACCCCCCTCACATCCATGCCCTCTTCTCGCTCCCTCTTCCCCACGGGAGAAGGCCAAGCCTCTCAGCCCGGCACTGGCCATCCTGATTTCGGCCTCCCTGGTCTCTGCAGGGGCCCCTCCCACTCTGAGGACAGTGCGGCCTCCTGGAGAACTCCTACTCAGCCTTCAAAGCGCTGCCCAAACGCATTGTTCCCCCCTGTTCCCTGTCCCAGCCAGCCACGCTCCCCTCCAGGCCTCCAGCAAGGAGATATCAGGGCTCTCCAAGGACGGTGGGGTGTGGGGACCCAGTTACTAGGCACAGCCTCTTGTTGCCCTGCTTATGAAATGGGGCTTGTGGGGTGCGGATGGCTGGTGCAGGTGTTCAGTGGGCGCCAGCCGAGCGGGGAAAATCGAAGGGGCAGTGGCTGAGGGCTCGCACCTGCAGAACAGCGCCCGGCAGGTGTCCTGGAACGGCTGCAGCACCGCAGGGGCCGGCGGCCAGACGAGGTCTCGGCCGTAGTGCGGGGGCTGCCTCGCGGCCTGGAACCGCCTCTGCAGCTCTGCCAGGTGAGCGCGCACCTTGTGCCTCCGGAACCAGCGCATGACGGTGTAGACGGCCCGCAGCCGCCGGCAACGCCGCCTGGCCAGCGCGCCGCGCCAGGCCTGGGGGGCCAGCCGGGCCTCCGTCAGTCCCGGCCAGGCCCCGCCTCCCTGCTTGTTTCCCTCCCCGCCCCCGCGGCCGGCCCGCCTCCTCCACCCTCAGCCCGGCGCGGCGCCAGGCTGACCCGCCCAAGACTCCTGGGGGCCGCCTCCACCTGGCGGCAGGTCGCTTCCCAGGTGGGCACAGGGCCCTGCGGCAGCCTCTGCCTGACTCGGGGGAGAGCTGCTCTCCCCACTCCATGTCCTTCCACCTGGCACCTGCAGATGGGGGTGCTTTCCCCTCCGCCAGGGGTAGCTGCCAACTGTCACCTGGAACTCGAGCTGGCCCAGGTCTGACCTCCAACTCGTAGACGCCCTGACATGGAAGAGTACCCCAAGAATGCAACCATTAAAACCCAGAGCGGGAGCCCTGCACGGCAGGCAGCCCAGGGGACCCACAGATGAAAGTACACTTAAGGAAGCTGACTCAGACCAAGGAGAGGACAGCAGTGTGGACAGTCCTGGAGATGGTGGGGCCGCGAGGACCCAGTGTGAGCGTCCCAAGTCCCATCTCTGTGACCATGGCATGGTGTCACGTTCCTAAAACCAACCCCTCCATGTTAGGGGAGTAGCAAAGCTCACAGCTAAATGCAGTGTGTCGCCATGGGTAATAGTGGGATGCTTGTGGAAATTCGAATACAGGCGGCATATTATTCAGATACGTGGATTATGTCTTGTTGGTGTTAGTTTTCTCGTCTGCTGACCTCAGCGTGTTCAGAAAAGGGAACGTACTTGTCCTTGAGACATGTGTGCTGAAATATTGAGGGGGGCCGTTACTTTAGAAAATCATATAAACGTAGGTGTATGTGGGTGTGGGGACAGACAGACACACAGAGATGGGGTGGGGAGAGCACACGATTGTAGCAATTCAGGTGGATGGTAAATCATCATAGGCATCTCTTGACTTTTCAGTAGGTTTGAAATGTTAAAAATAAAAAGTTAGGGGGAGAGATGGAGGAATTCCGGTCCTTTGGGAATACTTACTAAAATGACTCTAAACAAAATGATTTGATGGGGTGCCCGCAGGGCTCAGTCAGTTAAGTGTCCGACTCTTGATTTTGGCTCCGGTCATGATCTCAGGGCCGTGAGAGTGAGCCCAAGTCAGTGCTCAGTGGAGAGTCCGCTTGGTATTCTCTCTCCCTCCCCCTCAGCCCATCCCCAGCTCACATGCTCATGGTCTCTCTCCAAAATGAATAAATCTTTTAAAAAATGATTTGCTTAAAAATAACTGGGATGGGCTGCAGGTGTCTGCACAAAACCACACTCTGCTCACAGGGTGGCACAGCTGATGCTGGGGAGTAGGAGGGGGAATTATCTCTAGGTCTGATCTCTTTCAGAGTCAAGAGAAGAAAAGAAGGGAAAAGATAAGGAAGGGGGATGCCTGGGGGGCTCAGTTGGTTAAGCGTCTGCCTTTGGCTCAGGTTATGATCTCGGGGTCCTGGGATAGAGCCGCACATCAGGCTCCCTGCTCAGCGGGGAGCCTGCTTCTCCCTCTCCCTCTGCCACTCCCCCTGCGTGTGTTCTCTCAAATAAACAAAATCTGAAAGAAAGAAAAAGAAAGAAAGAAAGAAAGAAAGAAAGAAAGAAAGAAAGAAAGAAAGAAAGAAAGAAAGAAGGAAAGAAAGAAAGAAAGAAAGAAAGAAAGGAAGGAAGAAGGAAAGAAAGAAAAGGAAAAAGAAAAAAGAAAAGAAGGAAAAGGAAAGAAGCCAGATTCCTGAAAATCATATTTTGAGCACCTGGATCCACCTGGGCCTGAAGCTGATGACCCCGGACTGAGGTAAACTAACCACATCCACACCTTTTGCTTAAGTCAATTTCAGTCCTGGCCCATCTCCTGTCAGAGGAGATTCCTGTGGTGTCTGGAGGGGCGCCTGTGGGCCCCGCTGGTGCATGCGCACCCCCCACTCCAGGGGCTGCACACCCCTCCCTCCCCTTCCCCCCCAGGGCCACACCCCTCCCTCCCCTCCCCTCCATGGGTACACCCATCCCCCCTCCCCCTCCGCGGTAGGTAGGCATCCAGCCAGAGCGCACCTTCTGCAGCAGCAGCACGATGATGGGGATGAGGCGTGCGCGGCTCTGCTCCAGCTTGACCAGAGTCTGGGGCGAGCGGATGAAGAGCTTGGTGTGGCCGAACGCCACGTCCCCTTGCAGCCCATGCTGCTCCAGGAGGGCACTCACGGCTGCCCTGTCAGAGCCCAGCAGGTGATTGGGCCACGTGTACTCACAGGTCATCTTGTACCTGTCACCGCAGGACAGGGCAGTGGGCACTGAGCTCTGGATTCGACACGCCCAGCACCTGCCCACCCCGTCCCCTGGGTCACACAGCGTCTTCGCTGTCTGTGCTGCGCGTGTCTGCATCTGAGAAGCACTGGCCGGGTTTGGGACCCTCTGCCCACCCGTCCGACTCCTCACAGGATCCTGGGCCATGGGGGACAGACGGGTGGGGAGATGGAGCTCCGGCGTAGCAGGGCGCGGTACCTGAGCAGGAATCGAGGGTAGGGCTGGCGGGAAGCGAAGCCAGCCCTCCGCACCCGCACATTCTCCAGCAGCCCCAGGTACACGACCTGGTGGCGACAGTGGTCCTCGTCCAGCCTGGCAGCCATCTTGTCCTCATTGGGCTTGATGCAGCGGACATAGAAGGGCTCCTACCACAACAGAGGACACGCAAGGACACCACCATCAGCCTCTGTGGCCGCAGGGCAGGTGTGGAGCTGTCCCTCCCTGCCGGCTGCCCAGGGAAGAGGCTCTTGCAGGGGGAGGGGAGGCCGAGCGGCTGGGTCAGGAGGTGGTAGGGCAGCCGGGAGCCCTGCCGGCCTGCAGGGGCCAGGCTGAGTCTCCAGATGTTCTGTGGTTAAGCGGGCTCTGGTGTCCCCCTGCTGCCCCCCCTCTGCCTTTGGGCCCCAAGCTCCGCAAGCAGCTAGCGCCGCCTTCCTGCCCTGTGAGCCCCGCCCAGCCCCTTCCTGCCCAAGAGGCCGGGAGGACAGGGGAAGGCTCTTCAAATCTCACATTTACTCAAGCCTCAGCCTGACCCAGGACATCTTAACTTGCACGGTGGTGGGTTCCTCCTGGCTGGGGTGGGGGTGGGGATGCAGCTCACAGCAGGCAGGAAATGAACACCACCGTCCCCGTGATGTGCAGAGGCGGTGGGGGCCCAGTTTGCCGGCCAGGACCTGGAAAGATCCAGGGTGGGGGCGGGGGCGGGGGGAGTACCTTGGAGGCCAGGTTTTCTACTAGAGCCACCATGGAGTTCTTGAAGAGCGTGCCAGCCGTCAGGGGGCGCTTGGTCACTTCCGTGATGTCCTGCTGCCCGTCCGGCCACATAGCCCGCAGGGTGGGGTCCGAGCTGTAGACACAGGCCACACAGCTAGCCGCCCTCTGGAGGGCAGCCCTCGCCCCAGCTCTGCCACTGGTAAGCTCTGTGGCCTTAGTGTCAAACCTCAGGCTGTCAGCCCATCAGACAGGTGTCAGACCCGAGTGCATGAAGGCCCTTCCGGCCTGGGGCCCCCACGCACCTGTTGTACATCAGCCGCTTGAAGTCTTGGAAGAGGTGGTCTCTGTTCTTGTCGATGAAGCCCTCCACCGAGTACCTGGGGGGCCAGCGCTGGTGAGGGGCAAGGGGCCTCTGACAGGCCCAGGAAGCCCCTCACCAGCCTCTCCTGCCTCTGTTCTCTTAGGCTAGCCTCCCTGCCTCCGCTCCCACACCCGCTTTCTTTCTCAGCACGTAAGACTCCTTCCCTCACAGGTGTCTCTGCTCATGCCCACCGCACTGGACCCTGGCTCTAGCGCATTCGTGCTGGGTGGCCTGGGACCAGGGACTTCACCTGTCTGTGCCCCAGTATACATCCCAGGCCCAGATCAGTGCCTACTGTTTCCATCAGTGTCGGTGATGGTAGTTATACCCAGGAACTCCCGAGGCAGTGGTCTGCTTTGATTCTGTGGCACGGACAACCTCAGATTCCTTGTCTGGCCCTTCGATGACAAAAGGCTAGGAGGCTCAGTTCCGAAATCTCCCTGCACCTGCCGCTCCCGTGCAGACTCGGGGCAAGGGGTCTGACCTCTGGCGGCACTGTCCTCCCCACTTGTCCTTGTGAAGGACACATTAGACACGTGTGCCTCCGTGAGTCACTTCAAGTCCCACTCAGGACGAAGGGAGCACAGGTCAGTTAGTAATCATGTCACGGAGATTTCTGAAGGATTCCTGAGGTTGGTCCTGAGGGTGTGCCCCCAGGATGGGCACCGTGTGCCCGGGGCTTGCTGGAAATGCAGACTGTGGCCTGTCTGCCCCCTCAGCTAACCGCACCTCCATAATAGCGTGCCCCTCCCCCAGGCATTGCCCAAAGTGGAGCCTAGATACGGGCATTTCTGAAAGCTTCCAGAGGCTTCCCCTCCCCCAGGCATTGCCCAAAGTGGAGCCCAGATAGGGCATTTTTGAAAGCTTCCAGAGGCTTCTACGGTGCAGCCAGGGCCGAGGGCTCTGATCTCAAAAGCCCCATTGCGTGCTTTCCACTCATCAATCTGGTGTCAGGCGCGTCTTCAGCGCACTAAGAAGGGGAGGGCTCCTTACGTGACGTCCCCCGCGTAGTGCTTGATCCGGAAGTCTCGGCCAAACTCCATGGTCTTGTCTGTAGGGCAGAGCTAGGGAATGGGGTGGCGCGCCAGGGTCACGGCACAGGGCACAGCCCTGGAGAGGCCGGGCCGCCGAGGCCGCGGTGCCTGGGCGGGGTGGGGGGTGCGGCCCCGGGACCGGCTGGGGGCGGGGCTTGGGGCGCGCGCCGGGGGCAGCGGAGCACCTGGCGGCTGGTGTAGTGCGGGTGGTGGCGGTGGTGGGTGTCCAGGCTCTGCAGGAAGATGCGGTCGGTGATGGTGCCCGCGGCGCTGCAGGCCTCGTCCAGCACGGCCAGCACGCCGCGGTGGGGCCGCTCCACCAGCTCCACGATGGTGGCGTTGTTGAAGTAGTCCACCTGGGCGGGGCGTGCAGGGCGGCTCCCAGTCTGCCCGCCGGCCGCCCCGCTTGCACCCCGCGGCCCTCGCGGCCCCGCCCGCGAGGCCCAGGCCGGCACTCACGCTCTGCCAGGCGATGCCCTCCCGCTCGTACTCCTCCTGCTCCTGCTTCAGGATGAGCTGGATGAAGAGCTGCTGCAGCTTCTCGTTGCAATAGTTGATGCAGAACTGCTCGAAGCTGCGGGCGGGCGCAGGGGCCGCACAGTCACGCCCTGCCGGCCGGGCTTGGGGCCTTGGGGGCTCAGGCTCGGTGCGGAGCGCGTGCGTCGGGGGCAGGCCCCTCCCCCCGGAGCCCGACGGCAGGGGTGATTCTCCCCCTCCAGTCCCACCGCGGGCACGCATGCTCCCCAGTGGATTTGGGGGTCGTGGCCATGGGACGTGAGCCCCCAGTTTTGCCTCCGTGGGCACCGCTGGACGGGTGGCACAGCCGAGGCAGGCTCGGGGGCCTGAGCCCGGGGCCAGGGACTGGCCGGGACAGACGCCGGACGTCGGGCTCCCCAGGCCAGCGGAGCTCCGCGGGACCAAGGAGGCCCTGGGGGCTGGGGTCAGAGCCGGGGACGTGGTGGTCGGGCTCCCCACCTGTTGACAGGGAACACCTCAAAGCCGTAGATGTCCAGCACACCGATGACCGTGTCCTTGCCGTCTCGCCGGGGGTCCCGGCCCCGGGTTTCCATGACACCGTTGATCCGGTTCACCACCCACTCAAACAGCCGCTGGTACACTGCCTGGGGAGAGGCCGGGATCCAGCTACTTCCGGCTGCCTCCATCGTCGCCTCCTCCAGGAAGGCCCCCTGGGTGTCCCCGCCTCGCTCCCCACAGCCTGCCCCCAGAGGACCTTGGCACAGGCGTCCCGGGCATAGCTGGCCTCCGCCGCAGTGTGGCCCTTCTCAATGAGTTCCCTGCCTCCGGAGGCCACCGTACGAGACAGCAGGCAGCGCAGCACCAAGTCCCGGGGCGTGGCCGTCAGCTCGGCCACATGGTCCACCAGCAGCTCCTCAGCCACGGCCAGGTGCCCCTGCTCCGGCCCGGCCGCCTCCGTCTCCACAAACTCGATGTTTCCCTGGGCACGGGGAGCCAGGACAGTCAGGCTCCACGTCCCAGTGGAGCTTGCCTGCACACCTCTGCCCAGGGAGAAGGAAGGAAAGACAGGGCTGGGGGTGTGGCAGGGCCTGGCTCCTGCCACCGACGCAGCCCTGGATGCGGGAACGGCCCCTGGAGCTCAGCAGAGCCTTCTCCAAGGCTTCCTGCCCAGAACATCAGGTCCGTGGTCCCCCGCCGTCGCCTGCGGCTGCGATGCCCCCCCTGCTCCTCAGGCCGCCTCACAGGGAATGGCGGCCCGGACGTGCTGAGGAACTGTCCAAAGCCCGCCAGACCGCATCTGCACAATGTCAGCGCTACTGAGCCTGCCCTTCCGGGCCTGCCCCGGGCGGGCTCATCCGCTAGACAGACGCGGCATGTTGCAGGCCTGACCCGCCCGTCTGGGCACACAGAGCCCCCAGCTCCGGGCCCGGCCTCCGGGAGCCATGCACTCAGCCCCTTGGAGAGCAGGATGGGCCCGCTACGTGGCTGGGCCGTCCGAGGTCAGTCTCCTTCTCCAGGGGCGGTGGCCCCGCAGCCCCCGGCCAGGCTCACCAGATGCAGTATGGCTGCCAGGATCCGGTGCACAGAGCCCACTTCCTCAGCACTGAAGCCGATCACCCGCATGGCTTCCATCACTGCCAGGTAGTGGCTCCTCTCGTCGCTCTCCAAGGCCTGCAGGACGAGGGGCTCAGCACCCCAGGGCCACGCAGAGCCCCCGGGGTCCTCCCAGGGCGTGCCTGTTACATTGGGGCGCCAGCAATCCTGCTGAGCGCCCGCACCCAGGACCCCGGAAGGCGGAGCCCCGCCCCCACTCACACTGAGCCCTGCGCCCTGCCGAGTGAAGTTGTACACGGCCGGGTTCCTCTGCAGGTGCAGGTTCCGCAGCTCTGCGTCCTCACAGCCCCGCAGCACCTGGGGGCCCGCAGATCCCTGGCTCAGGCCCTCAGAACTGCAAAGACCCCCCAAAACATGCCGGAGGACCGACACAGGGGAGCTCAGTGCTGGTGTGGACACCGCCTGAATCCAGGCAGACGCCATCTCACCCAGTGTAGACACCACCCTGCTGGTGACCCGGGAGATCCCCCTCCAGTGAGGGCGGGGGACTGGGGGTGTCACGGCAGGGAGGGGGGAAAGGGACTGAGGGCGGGGCCGTCGGAAGGGCTTCCTGGGCGCCCCCACACCCCTGCTTTGGTTCACCTGGTAGAAGGCATGGAAGTTCCGTTCACCCACGTGCTGCTTGAGGACTCGAGACTGTGGAGGGAGGGGCAGATGGGCCCCTGCCTGGGTTGCAGGCACCACCCAGGGGACCCCACCCAGGGGACCCCACCCAGAGCCCCTTGGGCGGTGCAGGCGGAGCCTGGGACCTCAGAGGAAGTGTGTCCCCGCCCCCTCCCCGGGGCCCCAGGCCTGGGAGGGTCAGCGGGAGGCCTGTGGCCTCAGGACCCGCCTTTGGGAGGGTCAGCGGGGAGGCCTGTGGCCTCAGGACCCACCTTCTCCAGCAGGTAGCTGTGAATGTGACCCCCGATGGGGTCCCCTTTAAAGTCGAAGTTGATGTCCATGTACTTGCCGAAGCGGCTGGAGTTGTGGTTGCGGTTGGTGCGCGCGTTCCCGAAGGCCTCCAGCACGCACGTGGACTTGAGCAACACGTCCTTGACCCTGTGCGGGGCAGAGGGGCCGGGCTGTAGGGCACAGACCTCGTCCAGGGACTGTGCCTGCCCAGCACCCCTGCCCGAGGCCTCCCATGGCGCAGGCTGCGGACCGGCTGGGAAGGCCCCCTGCCCGGTGCTGTGCCCGGTGTGGCGAGAAGGGCAGCTCCTCACCTGGGCGTGCTGCCGCCTGCAGAGAGGAGCTGGAGCTGCACGCGGCTCTCCACCTCCCGTGGCAGGGTGGGCAGCGGCCAGCCGCCGGTGCCCCCCGCCCCTGGAACCCCACCTTGCCCCTCCCGACGGGAAGAGCTGGGGCGCTCACACAGGAAGCTGCTCCACGAGGCCCCACTGGTAACAGCCGGTGAGCAGCTGGTGAGGAGGCGGACAGGCGGGCCCTGATCCAGGTCCAGGCCCTTCCTGACCATCTGCCCAGCTTCTCCCTTCCGTGGGGTCTCCTGTGAGGGGCCCAGCCCCCGTCTGTTGGCTCCGTGCACCTTGCCTCTTCCCTCTTCCTAGTGGCGCCCTGCCCCGGGGCACGGGGCCCTGCCTCTGCTGGGTGGACGGGTTCTGGGCGGGTCACCTGGAGCCCTCCTGCAGAGGAGCCCTCTGAACTTGGCCTGAGCCAGGCTGACTTCCATCCCTTGCCCCTCCAGGCCTCAGGCCCAGGGCCGCCCCTGCGCCAGTCCGGCCTGCTCTCACCTGTCCACCTCGGCCCTCTGGCTGGGGTTGGTGACAGCGGCGATGTACTGCATGATGTGCTTGCTGGCTTCCGTCTTCCCTGCCCCACTCTCCCCTGCCGGGCAGACGGTGCTCAGCCAGAAAGAGTGGCCACTCCCCTTGACCACCCCCTGGGCGCCCCCTCCAGTGGGGTCTGTGGAGGCTGCCCGGGCCCCCGCCACCGGGCAGGTACCTGAGATGACGATGCAGGTGTCCCTGGAGCGGCGTTTCATCGCCCCGTAGGCGGCATTGGCCACAGCATAGAGGTGTGGTGGCCGCTCATAGAGCTCGCGGCCCTGGTACTTGGCGATGGCCTCAGGCCCATACAGGGGCAGCTCCTGGTAGGGGTTCACGGACACCAGCACCTCGCCGATGTAGGTGTAGATGCGGCCCTTCTCGAACCTGGCACAGGCGGGGCCAGGCCTCAGCGCTCAGGGCTGTGGGGACGCCCACCCAGGTGCTGGGGCGTTGGGCCCCTGTGGGGAGCGTCGGGGGCCCTGGCCCACCCCAGGGCTGAGAGTAGGAAGGAGTGCGGGTTGACCTGACCCTTCCCAGTGCCATCTTGCTGGAATCCCACCCCCACTGCAGGGTGGTGCTGGGGCCGACGCTGCTCCCTGGGGGGGCGGGGGGGGGATCCTGACAGCACAGGAATCTCCACCACCAGATTTATGAAGGGATAGGTAGAGCCAAGGGGTGGAGGTGGAGAGGAGAAAGGGGCTGGAGGCCGAGGGAGGGGCCTCGGGCTGTTTCCTGTCTTGAGGCCTGGGTGGGGACCCAGAGGCAGCAGGGGACCCGCCCAGCCCCACCCAGATGGCTGGGACTAGGAGGGGCTCAGGGAGGGGGCCTGGGGATGCAGCGGCCGTCCTCCCCCCGCACATCCTCCTGCTTCTCAACCCTTCCTTTTGGGAACTCAGGCTCCTGGACCTCTGTCTGCCCCTCTCTTGAGCTTTTGGCCAGCCAGCTCAGCTCCCGCTTTGTCTGGGACCCGCCCTTCCCTGGCAGCTTGTAGTCCGTCCCCCGTCAGTCAGGGGTTCCTCTTCCTCCGCTGCAACTTCAGACGAGGGAGTTCCCCCGGCGCGCTCCCTCCACACCTTCTCTCATCTGCCCCCCGCCTGCCCCCCTGCACGCTGTGTGGCCTGGGCTCAGTGCTTCACTGTTAAAACGGACACGGTCATGCCTGTCTCACAGGCTAGTATAGAAGAACGACATGAAATTATGCTTAGCTTTGTGCCCCATACAAAATAGCCCATTTCCTGTCCTCTAACCTCAACAGTGTGCTCAGGGGGCCCCATCCCCTAACCCTGCACAGCAGCCGCCCTGTCCTCCCGCGGGCTGTCCAGGATGAAGCCATCCAGCTGTCCAGCTCCTGGGGGCCACCCCATCTCACCATTCCCTGGCTCCTCCAGGGCAATCAGACCCCATGTCACTTCTACCGGCCACGCCCTGTGGCACCCCATGCACCTCCCCCCCAGTGTCATCTCAGCTTGTCCACCTGCACCCCGGGACAGCGCTTGCCCCCTTCCCTGAGAGCCCCAGGGCCCAGCACGACCCCCAGCGGCAGATGGACAGTGCACCCAGTCAGGGGGACGGGCACCTGCCTGTCCCTGCTGGGCAGGAGGAGCAGAAGACACCCAGGCCATGTGGGAGGCAGGGGTCCGGGAAGCCCTCTCCAGCACTGGCTGGCCGCCCTGGCCTTGGGAGGACTGTCCTCTCGGCCCCCCGCCAGGACCCCCTGCCGTCACTCATACAGTGGTGCGGTGGTCCAGGTGGGTTTGTGTGCAGCCCCACCTCCCGCCCCTACCCTGGGCTGATGGAGACCAGTGAGCCTGGGGGCCCGGGAGAGGACGTCAGAGCCCTGTGTCTACCTGAGCTTGAGGTTCTCCATGAAGTCCTCCATGGTCACTTGGTCCAAAAGCACAAAGTCGGGTTTGCCGCACTCCGGCCCTTCCTCGTCCATCCTGCTGTCGGGAGGCACCCAGGCCAGGTTAGCCCGGCCTTCCTGTGCACAAGGGTGGAAGGGAGGGTGCTCCGAGCAGGCTCAGCCCTCCGGGCCACCTCCGAGCGGTGCGGTGAAGTAGGAAGTGGGTTCTGGTCCCAGGGAGGGGCTGCCCTCCCCACTTGCCGCTCCCTCCCGAGGGGCTCTGACCCCGGCTTCCTGGTTCCCGCACCCAGAGGGCGGGCACGCCTGACAGTGAGCCGGGTGCTCTGGAGGGTTCCTGTTGGCTTCCTCAGTAAGCTCTGACCCTCTGTGGTCTCCGTGCCTACCCCTCACCCCAAGCAGGGGCGTCACCTGTGTGGCCTGACGCCGTCACGGCCATCAAACCTCTGTTAACAGCCAGAGCTGCACACTAGGTGCATCTTCGGCTAGGTACCGTGTATCTTGATTAAAAAGTGGGAAATGCTGGTGCCCAGGCCTTTGGGGCGGGGCCTCGGGTAACATTCTTCAAAATGTGCAAGACCACAGCAGGATGTAAATGACAAAACCAGCTTCACGTCACACTGCACTGCAGGGCTGGCGGTCTGGTTCCTCAGACTGAGATTCGGAGTCGGGCGGCAGGCCCAGACCTCTGCATGTTACCCAGAAGGCTGTCCCTGAGGTCCCCGCCTGTCCCACCTGGTTCCTCACAGCACCGTTAGAAGCCGCAGACTGGCTGGCTCAGGTTTGTCTCCAGACAGCCTCCTTGACCCCATGGCATCCTCCAGGCGGGCAGTTCTCTCTCAACCCCTCCCCCCCAGCCGGGGAGGCCAGAGTATTTGCCAAAAGTGAGTCATCCACACGCTGCCTGGGGGTTTCTGTACTCAAGAGGCTCTTGTAATAGTTGCCTTTCAACAAGCTCGCTTTTTAAACTGAAAAAATTGACACGCAAGTTAAGGTTTTTTTTTTACCCTTTCAAATTCATTAGGATGAATACATACCCAGTAAGATTGGGAAGTGCTTATTCAAAAGCCTCATAATCCAGGCCCGCGCCCTTGTGCACCATCCCAAGGGGCTGTTGGCCTGACCGTTCCCTCAGGATTCATTCATCCTCCCAGCTCTGGGGATCCCCTCTGCAACCCCCTCTGGGGCTGGTACTTTTGAAGGGCTTTTCTACACCAACGCTCCAGAGAATCTGGTCCTGGGTTTTTTTGGTTTTTTTTTTAAGATTTTATTTATTTATTTGACAGAGAGAGACACAGCGAGAGAAGGAACACAAGCAGGGGGAGCGGGAGAGGGAGAAGCAGGCTTCCCGCTGAGCAGGGAGCCCGATGCGGGGCTCGATCCCAGGACCCTGGGATCGTGACCCGAGCCGAAGGCAGACGCTCAACGACTGAGCCACCCAGGCGCCCCTGGTCCCGGGGTTTTACTTCCTCAACCTCTCAACCCACGGGTTCCTCTAGCCCAGGGTTTAAATTGAAAGGAACAACTCAGCCCGTGCTCTGAAACTGCAACTTGATAGGATTTTCACGTCACTGGATAGTTCTGGGTTTTTCCTGGTAGAAATGTCAAGACCGTTCTGAGGTTGGGGATTTGGCCCCTGGGCGGACCTTGCTGTTGGGCTTTAGCCCCTGCCACCGTGACCTTGAGCCTAACTGCGGGGTCTGCACCTAGGACTTACGGCCCATGCCTCCTTTGTCCCAAGGCTGGGAGAACATTGCATGTCTTTTCCCTGCCTGGTCTGTCTCCCCTCCTCTTCGGTGGGACAAACCCCTTGGGGGATTTCAGTTGGGGCACCAAGCAGGAGGGCAGGGGGCTGCTGGGGACCCCACCCTGGCCCCTGCTGATGCCAAGCCCCCTCCAGTTGCCCTGCTCACTGAAGACTCAGGTCCAGCTCATCTCAGGACATGCAGAACTGCAGGCTGCTGCAGGGAAGGGCCCCACCAGGGCACCTCGGAGGCCACCTCCCGCTCTTCCCATCAGGGTGTGTGTATGTGTGTTGGGGGTGCAGCTGCCATGACATCAGGAACAAACCGAATGTAAAAGCGTCCGGCTGTGCCTGGATGTGTTACTTTTCAAATGAAGCCAACCGGGCATGTACATCACTCCCACACGGACACACTTGTGTGTGCCCACGTGTGAAGGTGAGCCTCGCTCCCAAGTCTGACCTGCACTGGGAGGAGGACAAGAGGCAGACGAGCCTGTCAGGCAGCAGAACCCATCCAGGATCCCCAGGGCAAGCTCCCGATGGCAGGTGTTGGTAGTCCATCACCTACTCGGCACTCTGCAAACACCCGGGCATCAAGCAAGGAGACACCTCGGGGCTGAAGGAGTTTGGCCGCCACTCCCTTCACGGCCAGGGCTCCCGCTCCTTGTATCTAGCACACGGAAAGGAGACACAAGCCGATCGCAGCACACGCTGAAAAGACTGTTTATTAACCACCCCTTGTTTCCCGCACAGAAGGTCAGAGGGGCCTGGGCCCCGACGCACAGCAAGAATCCTCGTTTCCGGAGCACTGTGGCACCCAAACCTGGGGGCAGAGAAACGTCAGTCAGATGTGCACACCAGGCCCTGAGCTGCCCACTCCCCAGCCTGGGCCCGAACCGGAAACCCCCCTCTCCTCCCTGAACGGGAGCCGGTGAGGACGCATACCTGCTTAGACAGAAGGGGGCACGAGAGCCGCTCAAACCCAGCTGCACCCTCACGGGGGCATGTCCGTGTGCAGGCCACACCCCAGGGTCCACTTCCTCAGGCATGAGGAGGAGGCACGTGGAAACAGCTTGGAGGCTGGCTGTGAAATCAAGTGACGTGAGCACACAGCCAGGGACTAAACACTGGTTGCTACAGAGAGACAGAAAGGAACTAAAAGGAACTGAACCCGATCCCCCTCCTGACCCCACAGTGGGCTGAGGTCTCTGTGGCGGGACGTGGCAGCAGCCTGACCTTCCCAGGCCAACACACCACTGACCCAGCAGGGTCCTGGGGAAAAGGCTGCAGGTGAAATCCAAAACCACAGAGTCCACCAATGCTGGGCCCCAGGAGTCCAGGTACTAGACCACTGCTGTGCAAAAACAGTCTCATGAGCTTGAAGGCAATGAACCTCTGGGACTCAGTCACCTGACTTGAGATGGGAAGGCCAGAGCAAGTCGAGGGTTTTGAAATTCTTCTGGGGGCGGGGGCTCATGGAAATGAACAGAAGGCAGGCCTCTGCAGCATACTTACTGCTGCAGACCCCAGATCACCCCGCAGACACGGACCAGGCCACCTCTCGGCGCTCTCCAGGCTCTGGCACCTGGGGATTCCTGCTGCTGGAACAGCGGGGGAGGGCAGACACCACGTGTCCTGTGCTGGGGCAGGGACCCAGAGCAGAGCCTGCTGGGGTGGGGGGTGCCGGTCAGAAACGGACAAGGGTCTGATGTATACCCTGCGCCCCCCCCCGACAAGGTAGCCCCCCAGTTTCAGGGATGCTGGCAGGGCACGTGAGGCTCTCCGATTAGAGACAAAGTTGATTCTTCCCACAGGGTGACACAGGGGAGCCAGGGGGCACCCAGCACATGCGGTGGCCGTGCGGTCCAGGAAAGCCAGACCTCTCCCAGCAGAGAGCAGGCCTGCTCTGGAGGGGGGCACTACCTTGTCCATCTGGGGCTGTTTGCTACTCCAACATCCTTGAAAAGATGGGCCGAAGTTCAGCCAACGCCTTGCTCCCAGGACTGCAGACACAGGAGCCTCAGGGAGCGTCTCCTGAGTGCAGCTCACAGGCCGGTGTGTTCAGCGTCTGCACCTGGACTGAAGAGGCAGACCCCAAGTTTGCCAGAAGCCTCGAGCGCGACGGAGATGTGGCGTGACCGGCCACCCAGAGGAGCCAAGAGCTACGCGGCCCTGCCATGAGCATCCTGGCCCAGCCCTGACCACACCCAGCGGCGCTCAAACCCAGGCAGGGACCCAAGGGCACCCCCTCCCACCTACGCTTCCCACCCGCTTCCAGATTCCACTGCTCCGTCCAGGTCAGGAATCTGGAAAGGAGCACACGGTGGGCCTGGAGGGGCCTGGCATTCCATCGCGACCTGCGATTTTCTGGCTGGGCGACCCTGGGCCCCTGTTCTGTACTGGACGGAGACCACCTCACGGTGGTGCTCAAAGATCTGAGCTGGGCGAAGAACGAAGATTTAGGAGGTAAGACACAAGCAGGAGCGTCTTCCCCTGCCGAGCCCTCCCCGCGCGGCAGCCCTGCTTAGAACTTCCGAGCACCTGCCATGCGAGTACCGAGAGTAAGAAACCGAACTCGAAGGCCTACTGAGCTTCACCCAACGGTACGTGGCACGTGGCCACCAAACCAGACACGGACACCTGTCTGAAATTTCTATAACCTTGCTCTGGACGGAGCAGGGCAAGGCCTCAAACCGTTTCAGGATGCTCTCGCAAGCACTGCAGGAATGCACAGGGTCACCCCAGACCCGAGCACGCTGGAGGCTTGCAGCCCACATGCCCCGGGCGCACAGCGGACACTCGGCACCGGGGGCTGAGCGGGAAGCGGTCGCGGGGCAGATCGGGGCTCCAGGTCGGGCAGCCCTAGCGAGCGAGCCGGACGGCAGCAGCGCCCTTCCGCGGTGCCCCCCGCGGCCCCGACACCGCGGAGCAGAAGCCCCTCGAGCCGCAAGCCCACGGGGTACCCGTACGCCCAGCCATTACCCAGAGCGGCCTCTCCCTGCAGTCTTCCTGGCACGGAGGCCGCCGCTCCGCTCCTACTCCGCAGCCGCGGGCCGGGCGGGTTCCGCGAGGGCTTCCCGCGACAGCCGGGGGCCGGGCACCGCCGC